AATAAACATTTCACTTTTTCCGAGTTCAGAATTTGTACCTTACAAACACCACTCTCCACTAAGGCAGTAAACGTCGCCTGTCTTCAGCACTGTGGAGAGGCATGAAATCCTATCATAGTTAAAAGCCTGAGCTTGTAATACAGTGAAAAAGCACTATGCAAGTTTAACCAATCATTTTATATTAACAGAGAAAAAAAACCTATCATTGCTTATGCCTCCTTTCTTATAAAAAAAAAAAAAAGACAAAACAAATGAATAAAAAAGAAAGCCCTTGTAACAACACATGCTACAAATGGTTTCCACTCCATCATGGGCAGAATTAGAGTTATTTCTAAACAAGAGAAATAACTGAAGTCTCATGGGGGGACCTACCTAATACAAAATTATAAGACATTTTAATTTTAGTTTTAATACACTGCTGCATAAATAAGCACACCAGAACACTACTTCAGACACAGATGACTTACTCCTCCTGGTAGTCAGATAACATTCCCTCTGGCTTTCTCTCCCTAAACGTCATTTAGGCTTTGACTGTACTTGGTATGGTGCTGGTATTTTTAAACATAAATGACAGGATGCCCATCCAAAGCTACTAAAAATTAACTATGCACAAATACAGATTATTAAGCTCAATTCCCTAAGCAAATAATTGTAGACTAACAATTGGCCGTACGCTAATGATCACAAGTTTCAGCATTTACTGGAAACGTCTGGGAGAGCCGGAAAAACACGAACGATTAGGACAAAGTCAATCGCAGAATGGGCAACGTGATCACGCTTCCTGATCACAGGTCACGGAAGACTCCCCAGCAGATCATTACTGTGAGAGGCAGCCCTGATATGCCCATCCTCTGAGTGCAGCCGGGCTCCGGGAAGGCAGAAAGCACACCACCAGCTGACAACACGCCAGACAGAGAAGTGCACACAACCTTCCTTAACCAAAACAGAACTTTTCCAGAACATTCCATGGAAGCTTCAATCCATGTTACTTCCTACTCAGCTATGACATTTCTCAAGCCTGGCTCTTCTATGTAATGCAACAATAACTGTGAAATGCCTGTACTTACTGTGCAAACGTGAATTGATACCTGGATGCAATTTTTAAAAAATTATTGAACATCTGAGTTCCCTACACACCTGTCTGATGTCCTCCTTCTAGACACCCAAGGCTTCTAGATTCAACATTTGTTTTTTAATCAGCCCTTAAAGAAGTAGACCAAAGCACCAAAGGGACTATTTTTAAAAGAAATCTTTCAAGCCTTGTGATGTTACCCAAAAAAGAATATCCAAAGAGTACTGAACCAAAAGTCTGGAAATCCGGTTTCTGGAGATGTAAATCTCACACTAGAGTGACCGTGACTAAGTCAAACCTAAGAGGAGCAGAGTCCCCTGGCTGCTAACATCTGGATGGGACAATGGGTGTGCAAACAGGACGACGGAGACCAGAAGATTGTCAGGACTCCATTAGTTCCACAGTTCTTAGGACACTGTAAGATACTAGACCATGTCTGAATGGGCTGTGTACTCACACCATAAAAGAACACAGACTGACACAGTCAGAGGGCTTTGGAAATGACCATCCAAGCCTTTTGCCGGGCTTGGAGTTACAAAGCAAAAAGCAAAATTTGCCACCCAAATGTGAGACCTGAGAAGCTGGACAAAATTTTAAGAGAAGAAATACTACACTTACTGAGAGCCACTGTAAAAGAATATATTTTAACATTTTTGACAGGAGCAGTCATTGTGGCAAAATGAACTAGACTGCCACCTATAATGCCAGCAATCCTACATGGGCACCAGTTGGGAGTCCCAGATTTTCCACTTCTGATCCAACTTCCTGCTAATGCGCCTGGGAAAGCAATGGAAGACAGCCTGAGCACTTTGGCCTCTGCCACCCATGTGGGAGACCCAGATGGAGTTCCTGGTTTCTGGCTTCAGCCTGGCACAGTCCTGGCCATTTGGGGAGTGAACCAGCAGACGGACAATCTCTCTCTCTCTCCCCTACAACTCTGTAATTCTGCCTTTCAAATAAAATGAATAAATCTTTAAAAAATAAAAGAAAAAAAACCCTTACAAATGTGTCTTACAAGTAACTACTAAACCCCTAAACAAATGTAACTATTTAAATCAACAATCTATAACAACAAAGCATGAAAAGAAACAATATATAAGTGGGGTTTTTATAATAGTACATCCCCTCTCAAATGTCATAACTTTGCTTTTCCAATCCCCAAAAATCCCATTTTGGAGAATACAAAATAAGTTACATACAGGGGCCAGTGCTGTGGTGCCAGAATCCCATATGGGCGCCAGTTCTAGTCCTGGCTGCTCCTTTTCTGATTCAGCTCTCTGCTATGGCCTGGGAAAGCAGGCCCAAGTCCTTGGACCCCCGCACCCACGTGAGAGACTCAAATTCCTGGCTCCTGGCTTCGGATCAGTGCGGCTCCAACCATTAAGGCCATTTGGGGAATGAACCAGCGGACGGAAGACATTTCTCTGTCTCTACCTCTCACTGTCTGTAATTCTGCCTCTCAAATCAATAAATAAACAGAAAGTTACATACAACATCAAGTCGTGTAAGCCCACATGTGGGAACACCAAAGATTCAGCTTCCTCTTTCTACTTTGGGTATCCCAATTTCAGTAAAATCTCACTCACTGAGATCCTAATGAAACACAAACACAGATCCTAATGAAACCATTCCTGACACAAAGAATGAATTAGGAGAAACTGTCTAAAAGTACAACCAGTGGGGCAGGTGTTTGGCCTAACAATAAAACACCCACATCAGGGGGGCTGGCACTGTGGCACAGCAGGTAAAGCCGCTGCCTGCATTGCCATGCCAGCATCCCACAATGGCGCCGGTTTGAGTCCCAGCTGCTTCACTTCCAATCCAGCTCTCTGCTATGGCCTGGGAAAGCAGTAGAAGATGGCCCAAGTCCTTGGGCCCCTGCACCCAAGTGGGAGATCCAGAAGAAGCTCCTGGCTTTGGATCAGCTCAGCTTTGGTAGTGGCAATCAGTTGGGGAGTGAACCAGCAGAATGGAAGACCTCTCTCTCTCTCTCTGGCTCTACCTCTATCTGTAACTCTGGCTTTCAAATAAATAAGTCTTTAAAACAAACAAAAAAAGCACCCACATGGGAATAGAAGGCAGTGGTGATGGCTCAATTAGATTCCTGCTATTTGAGGGCCAGTGCTGTGGCGCAGCAGGTAAAGCTGCCACCTGCAGTGCCAGCATCCCATATGGGCGCTGGTTTGAGTCTCGGCTGCTCTACTTCTGATCCAGCTCTCTGATATGGCCTGGGAAAGCGGAAGATGGTCCAAGCCCTTGGGCCCCTGCACAAGCATGGGAGACCCGGAGGAAGCTCCTGGCTTCTAGCTTTGGATCAGTGCAGCTCCAACCATTGTGGCCAATTGAGGAGTGAACCAACGGGTGGAAGACCTCACTGGCTCCCTCTCTGCCTCTCCTCTCTCTGTGTAACTCTGACTTTCAAATAAATAAATATTAACAACAACAACAAAAAGATTCCTGCCATTCACGTGGGAGACTCAGATTGTTTCAGCTCCTAGCATTAGCCTTGCCCTAACTCCTGCTGCTGTGGACATTTGGGGAGTGAATCAGCAGATTATGGTGCTCTCTCAAATAAATAAAATTTTAAAAACACTCTGCTTTAGGGGCCAGTGTTGTGTCACAGTGGGTTATGCTGCAGCCTGTGATGCTGACATCCCATGTGAGTGTTGGTTTGTGTCTTGGCTGCTCCACTTCTGATCCAGCTTCCTGCCAATGTGCCTGGGAAAGCAGCAGAAGATGACCCAATATTTGGTCCCTGCCACCGAAATGCGAGACCTGGATGAAGCTCCTGGCTCCTGTCTTTGGCCTGGCAGAGCCCAGGTTGTTGTAGCCATTTGAGGAGTGACAAGCGGATGGAAGATCTCTGTATCTCTATCTTTCAAAGAAATAAATAAATCATATATACACTGTTTTCTAAATAAAAATAAGTAACTTTTTAAAAAGTGGAAGAAAGAAATGCTATTTAATGACTTTTTGAAAGTGGCAACATTCACGGACAGTTACAAGAAAATGTTTCTGTTCCTAAAGCTATAGCATCAATGAAGACTAAACTTATTTTTTTTCACTTATGAATGAACTACTCTCATCATCCTCCTTAGTATACAGGTAGCTGGACTGCCAATAGCAGTTCTGCAATGTGCTTCTTTAAAACTGGCCCTATATGAAGTCTGACAAAAGCAACAAAAGATTTCTCATGTGTTGCCTAAGGGCAGCTCAAAGTCGACAGAGGTATTCCCACATGTGGCTATGCATATACACACCTAGGTGTATGCTTCTTGTATCGCTTCTCCCATTAGCTTCTCCCCCTAAGACAGTCAAAAGTCTGTGCCTAAATCTGTAACAGACCCTGTGGGGATATGAAGGCATGTGCATGAGAAAGGACCCCAGCTCTCAGGACAGTTACGATTCACTTTGGAAGATAAAGACATTCACATGAAGAGTTCCCAGTCCTAGTAAAATTAACAGTTATCAAATTTTTATTAGCAATTCGGAGGTGCTACCATCTGCATATTATTTGCATGAATCACAAAGCCTTAATCCAAATAGGTAAGAAAAATAAATCCATGCCATTTAATTAAATTATATTAAAATACAATAAATATGCAATAAATAACAGAATTTCTTTTTGACTATATGAAAAATAGCATAACAGTGGAAAGGAATGGGGAAAATGGAGTGAGATCTTTAATGGCCAAAATATCACATAAATGCTAGAAAGGAAATTAGGGAAAAGGAAATGGTTTTATTATTATTATCTCAGCAATGATAATGGCAAAGAAGCGAGGTTCCCAGGCTTTCCTGAAACCCCAGTGGTATGTGAAAAATCACTGCTGGGCTGGGTTTTGGAGGTCCAGGCTTTAGCGTCAGCTCCCTCACGACTGTATCCTTCCTTGCCCTGCTTTTCTACCTGATAATGGTTGAGGTCCGAACTACAGGATGGCTAATATTCCTTTAATGAACACTTCTGGTAAGCTTTTCTTTGATAAATATGTCCAGGTCCCCTGTCCTACCCAACCCTTCCCAGCCCCTCTCTTATGTCCCTGATAAGTTACAGTGTGAGCCTTAAATGATTTATGAATCTGTAACTTTAATTCTTTTGTGTTTATATATGAGTTCTTTATAGCAACTGGCTGAAAAGGCAAAACTGTAATTCCTACTGCTGAAATTAGCATGAAACAATCGCCAGTTTTATATTCTCTAGTCCTAATAGCCTAGCCAGATTAATACGGTATATTACTTGATATTCTGACAAGAAGGGTTCTGTTGTAGCTGTGATTCCGAATGGTGAAGATCAAATAATTACATCTTTGCTGCTTTTAGCTGGCTTCAAATTGACTTAGCTACACAGCAACTAAGAGTAAACTATATCTACTTCCTTTCTTAAAGATAATCTGGTGATAACATATAAGTATGACTTTGGTATCAAAAGGCTTTCATGTTGGATGTCTTATTAAACCCATTGTGTTGGGGGCAAAGTTAACAGAAAAAGATAAATATGGTTGTAATATTGAGTAATATCAAATTGTTTCTATTTTCATTTTTATGTTAGAAATATTGTTTGGACATCTGAATGTCAGGACAATTATCACCTAATAAAGGCATGAAGGCAAAAATTATCCAATAAAATGTTAAGTGACATGAAATTCTCTTGATTCTTAAATACTTTTCTGAGTCACTTCAGTAGAGATAAAAGAAATCCAAACTGGAAAGGAGAGAACGCACCCAAGCTTTCATGAAGCTGTATGAAAAGGTGAATAGGCACAAAAATAAAGCAGAGTTGAGAAGTACGCTGGGAAAGCTTTTCAAATAGCTTTGTCACTTGTGTCTAGCTCCATTATACAGTTTCAATTTTAGCCAAAATTTTTAAGTATTTGTTAAACAGTTCCTGCATGTGACATATGTTTCCAGAATACTTCTGACATTGATATGAGAAATTATAAAACATTTAGAAATGAAAATGTTGCTCTCAAAAAATAACACTGTAAGTTCCAAGCTTCTTCTGAATTCATAAGATGGAGAAACATTTGGAAAATAGTATCTTTCTGTTCTAAAATGTTCAAATAATGCACTTCAAAAAATGTAATTGTTCAAGGGGAGGAGGAGCCAAGTCTAAACAAATGAGGTCCTCAAGTTTACTCTAGGGGTCGTTACTCTTCCTTTGCAGTCTTGATCCTAGTTACTCCATTAGAAGTAAACAGCTTTATCCCTTCAGCTGGGAAGGATAATTTTTGCCCTACCAAGATGATAACAATGCCACTGCAGTGCTCACCCAGCAAGAAACGCATGAATATGAAGTAGCATCAACTCTTTCTTATCAAACCCAGTGTATGCAAGGATTGATTTGCAATGCATTAATTCAGGAACTCTGCAGAGAGGCTCCTACTATATCTAGCTGATCTAAACTTGAGCTCATGATAACACTGCACAAAGCTATGGTAGATAAAAGTGATAGGTAACGCCAATAGAACAATTCCACTGACAACACAAACTCCTCCAAGGATTCTTCCAGGCACTGTGATAGGATACATATCTCCATAGCCAACTGTAGTCATAGAGATAATCACCCACCAGCAGGCAGCAGGGATGCTGGCGAAGTCCTTGTTGGATGTTTCCAGGTCCAACCCATGTTCAAGAAGCTGAGAAAGTGCACTAAAAATTGCCATGGCAACACAAATGAAGACAAGTAACATAACCATCTCCCGGTAACATCGTTTGAGAGTCAAACCAAGTGTCTGAAGACCAATGAAGTGACGGGCAAGCTTAATCACCCAAAAAATCCTCATCATTCTAAGCACCCTCAGGGTGACACCAGCCCTCTGGAGTTGAGAGTTCTCGCCTGTGAACACTGTCATCAGCACGGAGATGTAATACGGCGTGATCGCCAGCAAATCAATGATGTTCAGGGGTCTCTTGACAAACTCACACTTGTTTTTGGAGACAAGGAACCTCACGATGCACTCCGCCGTGAACCAGCCTATGCAGATAGCTTCAATTACCCTGTCAAGGGAACAAAGGGAGGATTGATCATTTTATTTTTAAGCATTTTAACAGCTCTGAGATTTCTTCAGATAGTACTACATTCACACACCAATTCAGTTACTTTTCCAGAAAACATGAAGAACAGACAGCATTACCAACATCGTCAGACCCACCAGGACCAACAGAACAAGACGTTACAATTCAAATAAAAACTGAACCTGGAGTTTTTCTCATTTATATTACACTATACGTAACACCATTAAAATTACTATTTTTTTTTACTTGTCACTACTGCTTAAAAAAACCTCTCTCTGGGGACCGGCACTGTGGAGTAGCAGGTAAAGTTGCCGCCCGTAGTGCTGACATCCCATATAGGCACTACTAGTGCAAGTCCCAGCTGCTCTGCTTCCAGTCCAGCTCTCTAGGAAAGTAGTAGAAGATGGCCCAGGTCCTTGGGCCCCTGCACCCATGTGGGAGACCAGGAAGAAGCTCCAGGCTTTGGATAGGCCCAGCACTCTGGTTTTTGCAGCCATCTGAGGAATGGACCAGCAGGTGGAAGACCTCTCTTTCTCTCTGCCTCTGCCTCTCTGTAACTCTGCCTTTCAAATAAACAAATAAATCTTTAAAAACCTTATTGGGCAGTCTTAAATGGACTTATACTCAGCCAGCCACAATGCAAAATTGCACTTCCTCTTTGGGGTCCGTGGGTTCTCGACTGTGATATCAGTCACCAGGCAGGTCAGAAAGATTTCTGTCAATGCCCACACAGAGCACATCCTGGTATTCTGATGACTTACTTCTGGATAAATTAGTGAATCCAGGATCCTTTCCTGAAAGCGACTCTCCCCTGTTTTTCCAGTAGGTTTGCGTGGGAGCTTTTTGGGCACTGCCCAGATGCCCACTCCAGGACAGTGCCCTGGCACCACCATCCTCATCACGAGGTTCCCCGTGGAAAACAGATGGAGGACTCCCGGATGGAGCAAAACAGCCACTGGCACTTTCCCAGAGACCATGGCGACTTTTGTCGTTTATTTTTCATAATTATTTTACACACTATGCCTTTTTAAATATAAGACCACATGCTGCCCAGAGCAGTACTTACCAACCTTTCCACATCACCGCACACTTTGAAACTAATCGTATTTACACAGCATACTAGAGGCAAAGCTGAGGATTCCTGAAACAAAAGCTACCACCTGGGGGCTCGGATCACGGGGCCCTCGTCCCACACTCTCCAAGGTAGAGGAAATCAAACCTCAGCAAGGTGGAGTGACAAGTAACCAGGGACAACTGTAAATTTTAATTGTTATTTTTGTTACACCAGCACTCACTTTCTCGCCACTGATCTAGACCCAAACCTCAGAAGTGCGATTGATGGAAGAAATCGAAGTAGGCAGGATGGGAGCAGGGGAGCAACATTTTTAAAAAGAATGACTCAAAAGTGCATTCCACAGAACACAAGTTGCTCGGAAATGACCAAATACAATTAATCATGTCTGACTACTGTAGAGCTTTCTAGAGCCATAAATATTAATTTTATTTATTTTTAGAAAGGCATTCACATTCATGTGGCTCTAATCCATAAAAGTTTAAAAAGAGAGAGAGTATAGATATCAGAGTGCCAATTAGCTGCTCTACTTTGGATCAAGCTTCCTGCAAATGTACCTGGGCAGGCAGTGGATAATGGCCCAAGTACTTGGTTCCCTGCCACCCACATGGGAGACCTGGAAGAAGCTCTTGGCTCCTGGTTCCTAGCTTCTGATTGGACCAGGTTGGAGTTCCAGGCTCCTGGCTTTGGCCTGGCCCAGCCCCGGCTGTTGCGTGCACTTGGAAAGTAAACCAGCAGATGAAGACCTATTTTTCTCTGTCTCTCCTACTCTACCATTCAAACAAACAAATAAGTAGATTAAAGCGGGGAGGTTGGGGGGACACGGCGCTGTGGCGTAGGTTAATCCTCCGCCTGAAGCGCCAGCATCCCATAGGGGTACTGGTTCTGATCCCGGCTGCTCCTCTTCCAATCCAGCTCTCTGCTATGGCCTGGGAAAGCAAAAGATGGCCCAAGTGCTTGGGCCCCTGTACCCACGTGGTAGACCTAGAAGAAGCTCCTGGCTTCTGACTTTGGATTGGTGCAGCCCCAGGTGTTGCAGCCATTTGGGGAGTGAGCCAGTAGAAGGAAGACCTTTCTCTCCATCTCTCCCTCTCACGGTCTATAACTCTACCTCTCAAATAAATAAATAAAATCTTTAAAAAAAAAAAAGTGACACAGTATTCCACTGATTGGACTGCATTTTATTTAACCATTCCACATGATGGACATTTAAAGTAGTTTCTGGGGCTATTGCTGTGGCATAGAGGGTTAAGCCACTGTCAGTGTGCCGGCATCCCATACGGGTGCCAGTTCAAGTCATGGCTGCTCCACTTCTGATCCAGCTCCAGCTAATGTGCCTGGGAAAGCAGTGGAAGAAGGCCCAAGTCCTTGGGCCCCTGCACCCACATGGAAGACCCAGAAGCAGCTCTTGGCTCCTGGTTTGTTGGCTTCTGATTGGCTCAGCTCTGTCTGTTGTGGTCTTTTGGGGAGTGAACTACTGGATGGGAGACCTCTCTCTCTGTGTCTCTAATCCCTATCTCTATCTAACTCTGCCTTTCAAATAAATAAATAAATCTTAAAAAAATAAAATAAGATGAAAACAAGCCAAAAGTAGTTTCCATCTAATTTCTGGGTAACAATGAATATTATTATTTCTGCATCATTTCACACATGAGCAAATATATCCACAGGATGAGTCCCAGACACGGAATTATATACCAAGTCAAAGGAAATACATATCATATAATTTTGCTAGGTCTTGCCAAGCTACTCCCATGGAGGGTACACTAGATGACCCTCCCCCAGCACCACTGAGCAGCATTTATTTTCCCACAGCCTCATCAACGAAGTTTAAATTGAGTTGGAGACCTCTGCAACTCTTACAGATGAAAAGCACTACTTTATCGTGAAGAACGGTGAACATTTTTCTCCCGTGTAGCCTATGTCCTTTGCTCATGGGCCCTCAATCTCCTCGGATACAATAAAATATCATTCAGTGTGTGCAGTGCCAGATCGGGTCTTTTGTGCTCTTGCGACTATTATTCCTTGAAACACCAGTTCTGGAAAATGCTCCAGAGTCTTCGCCAGTAAGCATGCTTGTAGTAGGGTTCAACAGACTGTAGCCTGTGGTTCAAATCCTGCCTGCCACCTCACTGTTTTGTATGGCATGCAAATTAAAAATGGTTTCTTCACATTTTTTAATGGTTGGAAAAAAACCCAAAAGAATTCCAATTCTTTCGAAGTCTTTATTTATGTACTTATTTGAAAGGCAGAGTGACGGCAAGGGACAGTAGATGGGGGTTGTGTCAACCAGGCACTCCTCTCTCGTGGGCACTCTCGTGGCAGGTGGCAGGCATTCAGCAGAGCGGGCCCTTCACAGCGTGGCCCCCTGTACCATCATCTGTCCTGCAGTGACTTCAGTTCTCACCTGCTTTCTCCATGTGAAATACCACAAAAACCTTCATGTCTCTGGACAACTATGATGTAGGTTTGTTTTTCTTTTTCTGCATCTCCCTGGTCATCTTCACCAAATGTTTCACGTGTTACTCTTTATTTCTGGTCTCCTTGTAGTGATACAGGATCATGTAACCAGTGCTGACCAGTGGGCAAGCAGCAAAATGCCAGTAACATTTCTGGGCAGAAGCAGAGAGTGGATGTGAATTATTTTTCCTGGCACAGCAACCTGGAAGGAACAAATCCTAAATGACTTGCAAACTGGTGGAGTTCCCATGGGACCAAGTCCCCAAGAGGCTGTGCAGAGCAGAGCAGAGCAGAAACATTTTCCACCTTGACCTGGATCAGACATGATCTGGGAGCGAGAAATAAATCTCTGTTGTGATGAGCCAGCGAGGATTCCAAGTTGGTTGCTATTAAAGCAGTTAAAGCAAAATATGCCAAGTTACCATATTGACTATTTAGAGCTGAAATCACTTGAGGAACTCTAACTGCAGGAAAGGCCATTTGGCCTTTTCTTCTGCATGCAGGAGGCCATAAAGCTTGTTTTGGGAAGGACATCCTTCATACATCCAGGCCAGAAAACGGCCTGATCACCAGACAGTGGTAACTGGGACTCCAATAATCTCAAAAAGCAAACTCTTTGGAGTAATCCCTACCTTCCCCTGGCTTTTCCATCCCCCCCTCCTGACCACATATCTCTTACATACATCAAGAATGTGCCACCTGGGGGCCGGCACTGTGGCTTAACAGGTAAAGCCACTGCCTGCAGTGCCGGCATCCCATATGGGCACCAGTTCAAGTCCTGGCTGCTCCACTTCTGATCCAACTCTCTAATATGGCCTGGGAAAGCAGTAGATGATGGCCCAAGTCCTTGGGCCCCTGCACTCATGTGGGAGACCCGGAAGAAGCTCCTGGCTCCTCGCTTCGGATCAGCACAGCTTCGGCCATTGTGGTCAACTGGAGAAGGAACCAGCGGATGGAAGACCTCTGTCTCTTTCTCTCTCTGCCTCTCCTTCTATCTGTGTGTAACTCTTTCAAATAAAAATAAAGCTTAAAAAAAAAAAAAAAAAGTACCACCCTAGCCCAGATATCACTTTGTCTTGTCATTCCTTCACAAATGTATTGTTCTTTGTCTAAAAAGCATAAAAGGGTTGTGCTTTGGGGGTGGCCTAGCAGTTAAGACACTGAATGGATAAAGTCATGTCAAAGAAAGCAAAATGCTGATTATCCTAATTTGATCGGTATAGACTGGATACATGTGTTGCAATGTCACAGTGTAGCCCATAAATTACAATTGTATAATTCTTGTTAATAAAATATGTTAAATTGGGGCTGGTGCTGAGGCACAGCAGATAAAGCTGCCACCTGCAGTGCCAGCATCCCATGGGTGCCTGTTCGAGACCCAGCTGCTTCACTTCCAATCCAGCTCTCTGCTATGGCCTGGGAAAGCAGCAGAAGATGGCCCAAATCCTTG